GGAGGGGCTGGATTCCCCCCTCCCCGCTCCGATCCGCCAGCGCGGACTGGCAGAACGGACGGGGAGGGGGCGGGTACAGGTGGCTCTGCCTCTAGATAGGCAGAGCCAGCTGTCAGTCACGCAGCTGGGCGGATCTCGACGTCGGGGTCCGCTCCGGCGTCTCAGTATAGCGCGAGCTATAGCTGGCGGTATACTGAGCTTAGGGTGACGGGAGGACGCTAGTTTGTGTCCTCCCGTTACCCTAAGGAGAACTATGGGGAAAACCCCTGACCCCATAGTTCTCCTTTAAGTAGGGATGCACCTGTGCCAATACTGGGCATTTTCACAAGCACTCGTACTCGTGAAAATGACCCAATACTAAAACGCAGATACCGGCACTGGCGAAACTACCAGGGCTGCATCAGTCGGTGTTCCGCCAGTTTGGGGGGCCCAGAGAGACCAGAACACTGACATTGATTTGCCACGTGTTCCGGAGATCACACTGCGGCCGGGGGGCGTACCTGCGTTCCCATTGACTTTAATGCAACAACACGCCCCCTCCCGCCCCAGAATGCAGTGAGGCGGCCGGGATCCGATCCAGCACGAATCGGGCCGGAACGCACTGGAACTGGTGTGAACTAGCCCTGAAAGTCATAACATACATAGAGGGGAATTTATCAAAACTGGGACAGAATCTGGAGCAGTTACCTATAGCCACCAATCAGCATCCACCTTTTATTTTTAAACCTTAACTGAATAAACTGAAGAGAGAAGCTGATTGCTTGTCATAGGCAACTGCTCCAGATACTTTTGCTTCAGTTTTGATAAATTCCCCTCATACTGTTTGAGTGTGTGTGTAGGCCAATGTAGTTGGATCTGTATGTGCGTTATAATTAATCAAAATTAATTGATTATATATATATATATCTGACTAAATCAGGCGTTTACCGGGTAAAGGTCTTTTCTCTCATCTTTCAGTTTAGGCACATCTAGGATCAGTGACCAGACTTGACCTCGCAGTTGAAGAGGAATGCCTTTGTAAATTCTTCTGTGCATCTGAAGAGAGCAAGCGAGCAATATAAAGATCATAAATAACAAACAAAACACAGCTAATTCAGATAACATGTATACAAAAAAAATCCACACACTATAAAAAATAAAGGTAACTCTAAACAAGAAACAATAGTCCCCTGATATGGCTGACTTGAGCCAGACTGAACAATGAAATTAAGGTCCAGTTACCAGCAGCCAACTTTTGCCAAAGCCTAAAGTAGGGTACACAAGGGGACGAATTTCGACCGATTCCCGATGAACCGGCTGAAATTCAAATAGTGGGTGCGACTGTTGGGCGGACTACTCATCCGCCCAGCATCCTTGATCAGGTGATCGAAGGAGCCGGTTGGAAATTTTTCGAACAAACAGAGCTAGCAGTCAATCTGCTGCTAGCTCCGTTCGGGTATTCTGACGGTGGCCACTGTCAGAAAACAATGCAGACAGTAGGAGATTTATCCATCAATGCTAGCAAACATTGGTGAAAGAATCTGTTCTATTTTTTTTTTTTGTTCAGCCCATAGGTTGAATGAAAAAAATAGAAATGTGTATAATCGGCTTAATTGAGCTTGGTAGAAATATCTATCAATTATTTACAGCAGATTGCTAATGTTACAAACACGGTACCAGGGAAGCCTAGTAGTCCCCCCTTTTTATAAGAAAACATCTAAGCATGCATTCAATGCACTATCCTTCACATGTAACTACCCTGTAATGGCAAATATTTTTATTTTTTAAAACCTTATGTCTTAAACTTAATATTACATTTAAAATATATGTTATATCCCTAGACATTAGAGGATGAAAATACACTTGAGCCATTTTTGCAGTGTGGCATTATCCTTAAACTGCCATCAGGGAATACCGTTTTCATGAAGAGGTGTACTTGGTCAGCAGCAATGTTTCGGTAAGTGTACAATTATACACCTTCTGCTCTCCAATCTCTATTTCTTTCTTTTAAAGCAGAACTATGGGGTTAAGGCTTTTTCCCCATAGTTCTCCTTGGAGTAACGGAAGGACACAAACTAGCATCCTCCCATCACCCTAGGCTCAGTATAGCGCGCGCTGCAGCTCGCGGTATACTGAGACGCCGCAGCTGAAGCGGATCCCGACCATTATGCCGGGATCCGCCCAGCTGCGTGACTGACAGCAGGCTCTGCCTATCTAGAGGCAGAGCCAGCTGTACCCGCCCCTCACCCATCTGTTCCGCCAGTCAGCGCTGGCGAATCGGAGCGGGGAATCCAGCCCCTCCCCAGTCACGGCAGAGAGCCGTGACAGGATCGAGAGGTGAGCGAATGCCGGTATGTGTTCGCTCACCTCCCGATCTACTGAGCCGACCTGTGACAGTCTCATTGTCACAGGGCGGCTAGAACTATGAGGTGAGTGGAAATCACTCATGTCATAGTTCTCCTTTAAGCTGCCAATGCTCCATAGTAATAATTACCCACACACAATAAAACCATAAATGAATTGCAGTGTTAGTCATAAAAATCAGTGAATAATGTGCAAATAAATGAAACAAAATATAAATACCACAGACTACGTTTCTAATTTCTATGCAACTTCTAATAAAGTGTAACACAGTCACTTTAATTTAAATATACAGTGCAATGTGCAATCTTATAAAGGTGTCTAAAACTGGTAACAACATAAAGAGCAAAGATTATCCAAAATATTCTTCGATATAACAATCTTCAGATTATTCACAAGCGTTCATTTATTACACTGTGTTGAGTGTCACTTTTCTCTGCAACCCCGAGTCTGGCTCGGGGTTACCGCTTCTAGCATTGAAAATTAACCCCTAGCCAGACTCGGGATTACCGCCAGGGAGGTTAAGGATAAACCTTTGTTTCATCCGCTCCTTGTTCCGATATTCACCTCCATGATAATCAATGTTATTCACTCCACCTGTCAGTGGTCATAATATTATGGCTGATTGGTGTACAGTCAACTATCCAAAATACTGATCTTGCATTTGTATGTAAAGAGAAAGCAAAGTTCACACAAGTGGAGTATTTATTTATTACGGGTATTTATATAGCGCAGACAATTTACGCAGCACTTTGCATAGTTGTACATTTACATCAGTTCCTACCCTCGAGGAGCTTACAATCCAAGGTCCCTATCTCACATGCATACATAGAGGGCCAACTTAGAGAGGAGACTATTAACCTACCAGCATGTCTTTGGAGTGTGGGAGGCAACCAGAGTACCCAGAGGAAACCCACGCAAGCACAGGGAGAACATGCAAACTCCTTGCAGATAGTGACCTGGCCGGGATTCCAACCGAGGACCCCCAGTGCTGCTAACCACTACGCCACTGTGCTGCCCCAGGGAAGACACAGGCTTTGATTAGATTTTGGATCCTCAGCTTTTGCAGGATCCCACCAGAAGGCTGACAATGTCACTGGTGCCTAGGACAGGACCATTGGACGCCAAATGCAAGGCAAGTAACATTTTCCCCTGTTTTTTTCTAGATCAATTATAAGGGCATAGAGAAAAAATATCTGGTATATTTAGATGCAAGGTATGCTTTTAACCTACTCTTAACTACGGCCACCAAATAGCTGCCTGCCTGTTGTAGACTTAAAACTTTAGCAGTGTTTTCCTGCAATAGTTACAGATGTGGAACAGTAGACAACATGAGTAAAAGGTGTATGTTGTAACTGTGTAACTGAGAAGATAACTCGTACAAGGTGGACCACATGGAAAGCAAATAACAAAATAAAAAAAATAAACAGAAGCCAAAAGCCAACCAACCACTGTACTTTGCTTAACAGGAGTTTGAAGGAAGTAATGAGTCTCTTCCTTTGACAAAACATAATTCATGACAATAAACCACCATCATAAAAAATCTTGAAATGTGAATTAATAATTTTTCTGACTGCTATATTTTAGCTCCTGAAAGATTTTATAACCTTTAACACCTTGCTGCCACACTCTTGATTTACAGATAATGGTTTATCAAGCACAGGTTCAGGCTGCACATGAGATACAGATGTAAAAACCCTAGGGCACGTCAGCCTTTGTTATGCACATCAGAACTTCTATACAAGAAATATACTGCAGGCATTTCCAGCAGAGTGAGAGAAGCGGGTGAAAGAGGTTATCTGCTGCATTACTTCAAGACAAGCTGTTTCAGAAATCTAACAGCACCTAAATGTCAAGGCAGCATTAGCAATGTGCGGAGACTAAAGCAGAACCTAGGAATTTTATGTGAAATAATGAAGAAAGGAGAAAAAAAAAAAAAGCAAACAAATATATTGAGACATGGATCCCGGGTTAGGAAAGGTTCTCGGATTCACCAGTGTGTTTCTGTCTCCAAGTTAAGCATCATCATGGTGTACTAGGAAAACCTCTGCGTACACGGTGCCTAAATGTATATATCCACTTTTGAAGTTTTCAGGTTATTGAATTTTTTTTTTAAAACACTAAATCACCAGAAATCTAATCTTCATATTAATGTGTATACAAAAACTGCTAAGTAAATTAAATGAATTGCAGTAAAAAAAAATAGTTATCGACTGCATGACTGACTGTATATACCCCCTTCAATTTTGTGTTCAGAAAGTGCACCTTCAGGAGCTAAGTCTGATAGGACCCAATGCAGTTTTCCTTGTTCTTTCCAAAACTGCTCCGTTAAGCTGCATGGCGTTTGTGTGAGTGAACAGCCTTTCTAAGGACATAACATCTTTGAAAAATGTTCCGGAGGGCTTGGCAGCGAAAGGGTTAAAAGGCATCCCTGTATAGTTTAGACTTTATTCACAGGGTCATTGTCTTCAGATCATTAAACGTTCTTTCCAGATGACTTCAGAGTCTCTTGTAATCCTTCTGGCAAACTATGGGTGAGAGGTTATGCAAGTTTTTACTTCCAATTGCTCTCTTTTTGGCACTTTCACATAACTGTGACTGGTGGGGCACCCAGGCAATAGTTTCTGCAAGCATGGTCTGTCCAAACTTGACTACTTGCTTCTGTAACTCAAAGTTGTCATAGGTCTCTTGGTGGTCTCCCTCACTAGTCTCCTTCCTATAAGAGCACTCACTTTTGCTAAGGGACAGTTTTATGCAAATTTACAGTTGTACCATAGACTTTACCATTTTTTTTTTTTTAACTGCCCTCCAAGGGCTATTTCAGTGAAATTTATATGTATTCTATATATCCATTTCCTGGCTTTTTATCTTTAATCACCATTTCAACTAGTCATGCACCCCACCCCTCCCAAACATGGAGGAGGAGTTGCAATCATACGCTTCATGTTAAATTCCTTGCAATGTAAACAAAAAAAATTAAACATGGAAAAAGCTCTCTCATAATAGCGGGCAACAGTTGGATAAACCGCGGAACTTATAAAGAACGGAAGTTGGCAGGTTTTCCAATGCCCAATTTATTCACAAAAATGAAATACATTTCGCATAGACCTGAACAACTGAATTACTGATTGTTAGTTGTTTGATTATATAGTCCTACAAAAGTGCATTACCTTTTCAGAGTTCTTGTACTTGTCCCAGCTCTTTAGCATTTTCAGCCATTTCGAAGTCCTTTCAATTTCTAGAAATTTTTGCTGAAAATACAACAAATGATCAGCCACAACACTATATTTAGAAAAATATCAGATCTATAAAGTAAACTACTGAGTCAAAGTAAAACACCAAGTCACGACAAAGAAAACAGGTGCCTGCATATACCTAATACATGTCCTGGAGAATTCTAAGAGCTACTTTATTCAGGGATACTGGATATGATGGTACACTAGTTTCAATCTTTTGTAAACTGACATGGTTATTCGTGGAGCTGGTTTGGTGTTGGAAACTTCAGCATAACTGACAAAATATCAGTTGTTCAAGTTACCATACACCCTGTATGATTTAAAAATTAGCTCATGTGTTGCTATAAAAATATATGGTTTGATTTGTCACACTGTAGCAATAAGACAGGACTGGCAGAAAGATTCTGCGTATAAAAAACAAAAACCCTGTAAATGGTCCATAAAGAGCTTCTGTTTACATGTGTTTAGATGCAAAATATTTACATTCATAAAATTCTTTTAAATCAAAGCATGTACGCGCATTTCCATGGGTACACATGTAAACCATAGAAATACTGACACAGAATTTGCCAATTGGATCTGTGTGCCGAAGGCAGGGCAAGATTACTTATCACATTGCAGCTGTGTACATGGACCCAAAATATACAAGACTGCTGCTTTCAGATGTTTAGAAAATGGGGGGTAGTTTGTATGATTGATTCTGGTTACGAAGGGGGAAAAAAAAGACAACTTTGTTATCTTACATCTGCAATTTCCAGCCAGTTCACACAATTCAGTTCAGCTAAACAGATACAATTATAAAAAGGATACCTTCTCTATTGCTTCATCGTGAAATGGTAGCTCTTCTTCACTAAATAGGGGAGAATGAGGATATTGTTAGGAAAAATGCTGAAGGAGATGCATCACATTTCTTATCCTGTTAGAGGCAGTATAAGAACAGGCAAATGTGTTCACTGAAGATCCATGGCATTATCTTTATGCACAGTATTGATCCCTTAAGATCTGCAGCCATGAACAAGCACAGAAAAGTAGATGTGTGATAGAATAGTAGGATTGAGGCAACACAAAGCACACTTCAACTGACAAAAATAATAATGGTGTGCTCTATATCAACTAGTAAAAAAATTGTTACTACTAAAAATAAAAGTTGCAACCTGATTCCTTGCTGTGGCTTATGGCACAGATACATAATTTTATGTTTACACACAATATCAATAAGTAATGGAAGGTGTTTAAAGTTACAGCAACACTATAGATAACTGTAGTTAAAATCTAAGATGGCTAATCCAGGAACAGCTAGGGAGTTGCTAGGACAGGATGTAAGGGGAAGTTCTCCAACAGGAGCACAGACAGCAATATAAGCTAGGGCTGCAACTAACAATTTTTTCCATAATTGATTAGTTGGCCGATTAGTTTATTAATTTATCGGATTTAAAAAAAATAAATAAATACCATACGTAATTTAAAATAAAATACAAATGGAGTGTTACAAACATAGTTAACTGCACAATTTCTTGGAATCGCACCACACTGGAACGCACGGAATTGCTGTACTGCTTACAGTTAGGGGCTTTGGGAAAATATCAGGGGTCTAAACAGACCCCTGATATTTCCCTTTTGAAATAAGGAGATTGAGGACACAGAGTCCTTAATCTCCTTTTCTGCAGCCCCAGCACACAATGAACAGGAAGCACTCAGTACAGAAGCTTCCTGTTCATTCATAAATAGATGAGATTGTGGACACAGTATGTGTCCACAGGAAGTGATGTAGAGCACCTAACTGGGGACACAGTATCTGAATACTATGTACTGATCACTAGAATGTTTGAATATTACAGGGAACAAATATTTCACATATTTCCTGATGGTCCTGCAGCTCTCCTCCCTGCACTGGCCCGACAGCTTCCTCTACCCTGCTGGACACCAGCAGGTGGATCGGCTCTGTGCCGCCTCCGATCCCTGCTGAGTCTGCAGATAGAGGCGGGGGAGAGCAGCGGGGATCGGAGGGGACCCAGACCTCAGTAGGCAGCCAGCTCCCTGTGCAGAGGAGAAAGCTGCAAAGGCGATGCAGCGGTGGGGAGGTTTGGTGGAGCTCTACTCACCGCTGGGCAGTGAGCCAATGAAACACAGGCTCCTAGCGTGGAGAAGTTAACTAGGGAACCCAGACCAACTAATTGATCATGAGAATCGTTGGCAACTATTCTCATTATCGATCGATTAGTTGACTGCAGCCCTAGCATATGCCCTTTTGGTTAAAGGGTGGGAAGGTGTTGGAGCTTCTGAGAGTTTTTTTTTTGGTCTCTTTGTTCCCGTTTAGTGTTGTCCCCTTATTTTCTGTGTGGTCAAACAGTACAGGCAGGCTCTTACTATTACCCGCTTTGTCCAAAGTACAGGGGAAAAAAAACAAGTTAGAGTTCACGCCTAAATTCTTTTCCCTCTAGCAGTGCTTCTCATAACTACTCTTAAGCCCCACCAACAATGCATGCAAACATAGCACCTTATATACTAAAATAAACCCGTTAACTCAATTCAACTTGTAAGCTTTCCTGCAGAAGAAAACAGAATTTAGAATTATATGTTATTTATATTTAAATGAGCTGAGAGAACGCTGGCAATGCCAAACCACTCTCGTCTGCAGATGAAGTGACTTTGCAATTTATTTATTTTTTAAAAGAGACTGGGTTTTGGCTGTAGAATAGATGGCGATAATTTACCAGTGCTTTCTTGACTGTTGCAGAGACAGACAAAACTAAGCATAATAACACCACACAAGAGAGGTTTGAACTAATTAGTGAGAAACATAGTAGCACACTGCTGCAGATGAATTTCACGAACCACTGTCAAATACATTAACCATTAGGATTAGGTATGATTCTGGCGATTGAGATGATCGGGGTGGGGACACTTGCAACAGGAAAATGAGTGGGCTGTGCTTTGTTGCTCAGTGTATGCCATGTGTAAAATATGAAGAAGGCCCCATCAATAGCTGGATATCTGGCTTACTGTCCAGACAGAACTGTGGCAGAATGTCAATAACATTTATTTATTTAGCTAAAGAAAAACTCTGGGCATCCTAAACATTAACCCTTGCAGGAGGGCTACCCCCGCTCGTTTTGGTCTAGGGTCGTAAATAAAAGATATACTCACCCAATCCTCAGTCTACCCCAGGCTCCAGCAGTCTAAAGACCTGTGATGTCATCACGTCCATTCACTTGCAGTGCATGCGAGAATGCCGAGTGAAATTCCAGAGCAGATGGGAAGAGAGGTGAGCGGTTGCTGCTGCAGGACCGAGGATCATAGAACAAAACAAGCAATTAACCCTTGCAGTGTGGAGGGACACCACTGCAAAGATTAATGTTTAATATGCCTAGTGTTCTTCTTTAAGGTTGGATGACTTCTGCTCACTGGATTATAAATGTGGCTCAGCAGCTTGCCCTTAAGGTGCAACCAAACAGTAATCAATACATAAAGAGGAAACCACACTCAGATGGATTTCCTCAAGTAATAAACTATTGAGCTGGTTAAATTATTTATCAGTGTATACGAAAGTATTTATTTAGCTAAAGTTTAAAAGGGGAACTATAAGGTGAGTGATTTACACTTACCCTCATAGTTGGAGCAGACATGGGTCATTAAAACTGTCATGTTAGCTCTATTGATCGGGAAGTGAGCAAACACTTGATGTTGCTCGCTCACTTCCCGATCATCTCCCTGCAGAGAGCAGTGACTGTCATCATTCCCCGCAGGGATTTAAGTTTCCGCCTCGACCACCCCCCATCCGATCCTCCGGCGCTGACTGGAGAACAGATGGGGAGGGGTGGGCACAGTTGCCTCTGCCTCTAGATGAGCAGAGCCAGCTGTCAGCCAGCTGGGTGGATCTCGACAGTATTGTCGGGATCCGTCCCGGCTGCGGAGCTCTAGGTATATAGCTCCTTAAGTATTCACAGTGCTATCAGAACGGAGACCTTGACTTTATAGTAGTAATAGTAGTAACATAATTTTTACATTTGCTTGAAATACACCAGGGAATCTAGTGCATGGAGAACTTGGTCTCGCTCTGATCCATGCCTTAGATGCTGAGAATGGTCAACAGCTTGCCACGCCCCCACTGCTGTCTGACCATGCTGCTGGCAAGGAGACACATTTTTTTATTAAGTCTGACAGACACGGGGAGGGGGTGGTTAACAGCACATACAGAGGAAAGGGGCACAAGATCTACAGTTCTGCCATTTAATCTGTGACCTCCTCTGTTCTGTCTTGTACACAGAGGAACGTCTATAGAATCCAGGTCCGCAGTCGTAGCTGCCTTGCACCAAGTAGCAGCTTTTGGGAATGAAGGGGTGCTGCAGACAAGTGCCACCATTAATGAAAACAAAAGTCGGCAGTTACTACTTTTGTCTCCCTTCCCAATAGCAGGCAGGTGGGTCTGGGCTCAGTTGCCTGACAGTAGTAGCTGCTGGCTTGTGTTTTTTTTGAATGACAGCACTGGCCTGCAGCAGGCCGTCATTCAAAACAAAAGCCAGCAGTCTCTCCTGTACTCTCTCCCCCTGATCAGCAGGCAGCAATAACCTACAGGAACCTTCCCTGCATCCATCTAAAAGGTGCAGTCAGGGAGTTCCTCAGCAGGTCACAGGGAAGGTGCCTGGGGGGCTGCATGTTTAACTCCACTTTTATAAAGAGTGTGTCACAATGTCCGCCAATCCATGCCGTATTTTCTCCTTAGTCGCTGGTGCTTGGCTGTCAGCCTATGGTGTTCCACAAGGCTGCAGCCAATCTGCACACCTCCTTCCCTATTTAGCGCTCTCTCACTTGTTGCTTATCGTTCGAGCAACAAGTGATATTTCTTGTGTCGGTCCCCACGTGCTTCCTGTGATCTCCTGTGCCAGTGTCCCATTTTGGATGCCTGCTTTTGCTACTCTTCTGTGACTGTTTTCTCCTGTGTTTTAGTCCCACTCGGATAACTGTTGGCTATTTCCCCTTTGCTTGTTCCTTGTGTCCCTGTTTGTTGCAGTTTTAGCAAGCAGTACAGGGTGGATCACACAATACAAAGGGGAGGGTCCTGTGTCCTGTGATGTACTCCAAGAAACTAAATTTAAACAGGCACGACAAAAAACCTATTTTCTTGACCGTAGATCACAGGACACAGTGAGTTATATTCTTTATGCACTGAAATGTTCAAAAGCAGTTCAACAAAGGGGCGGGCAACACAGCAAACAATGGCTAACAGGCCCAAGAAAAAGGACAACCACCCCAACAATGAAATAAAAACAGAGGCATCTGAAGGACATTATAACCAAAGCTTGCCTCTGTGGGCCTGAGCAGGCACCAGGCAGAACTTGACAAAAGTGTGAATAGAGGACCAGGTGGCAGCCTTACAGATCTGGAGTAGCAAAGCCTGATGTAGAAGACTCCAAGTAGCACTAACACTTCTAGCAGAATATGCCCTGACTGAAAAGGGCCTGAGAAAAAAACGAATCCACCTAGAGCGGAAGGCGGGTTTTCCCATACGGCAACCCTCAATAATGAGGAACCACGTATCAGACTTACGAATGGAAAGTGTTGCAGGAGAGCTCAACCGCCAAAACCAAATCTAGACAGTGGAGAGAAATTTCTTTAGGGTGCTTCAGAACAGAACATAAGAAAAGCAAAATAATGTTTTGGTTAAGGTGGAAACCAAAGACCACCTTAAAGAAAGAGGAGGCCTTAGCACAACCTTATCCTTGTGGATGGTTAGAAAAGGCTTCTTGGAAGTCAACGCCACCAATTCAGAGATATCTCTGAGCGGTTCAAATGGCAGCTTCTGAAGAGCCAACAGAACCAGCCTGAGGACCCATGGAGTCACCAGTGCAC